TCACAGAAATAGAAAACAAACTATGATTACCAAAGGGGAAGGGCAGGAGGGATAAATTAGAGGCTGGGGATTAACAGACACATGGGACTGTATATAAAATAGATACACAACAAGGACGTACTGTAGAGCCCAGGGAACTATATTCAACTTCTAGTGGTAACATCGAATGGAAAAGAATCTGAAAAGAAAAAATATGTATGTATGTCTATGTGTAATTGAATTACTTTGCTGTGCACCTGAAACTAACACTGTAAATCAACTACATTTCAGTAAAAAGAAGTTTTTTTAAGTACCACTGGTGTCATAGGATTGAACCCTGTTGACAGTCTAACGAGGCAGCTGCAATCACAGCCTCCCTTTTTTACAGCTGTGGAAACGATGCTCAGAGCGGGGAAGTGACTTGACGAGATGGTGCAGCCAGTACAGGGCCCCTTGGCTTCTGGACTGTCTGACCCCGGGGTCTGCCCTCACCCACAGGACTCCGTGAACTCCAAGCCACACTAAGGAGGAGGGATTCATGCAGGGCAGGGCCGGGGTGGTCAGAGCACTGAGCACTGCTGGAGGCGTGAGGAGGCTGAACCCGCACCTCTCCCCGTGGACACCCCGCCCCTCCCAATCAGGCGGCAGGAGCATCCTGTCTGCCCCCACCCCCACGTCTCAGCAGCTGTGACCTCCAGCAGGCCGAGGGGATGCCTCCCCCGGAAGCCCCCGCATCCTGCATTCTGCTGAACCCGCAGCGTGTCAGGCTGCCTGTCCCAGCTGCTGCACGCAGACGGCCTGACCTGACGGGCTGGGGGCTGAGTTACCGGCCCCTTGGCTGGAAATAGCCCTCCGAGAAGCGTGCGGCGGCTACGTGTCCACAGGGAGGGGAGGAGGCAGGGCAGGGGGGCCAAGGAGTCCCAGGATCCCGAGATAACACGGGGCCGGATGTGCAGAGTCCCAGACACGGTGGGCTGGCGGGGTCACCGGCTCCAAGGAGGTGAGTGGGCACCAGGATGTCTGCTTCTGACGTGCGCTGCGTGACAAGCCTCAGGCATCCTGCGAGGGCAGGCTGGGTTCTGATGGGCAGCCTGGGAGCACCAATCAGGTCAGGCAGCCTGTGTGCGCGCACACGGACATGCAAACGCACACGCACACGCACACGCACACTGGCTCCGCCATCCGCCGCTCCCATTGCTCCCTCCCTGGGCAGAATCCCAGCTTGACAAGCACCCCTCTCTTCCTGCTGGTTTTGGTCAAAGAAGCAGAGTGGGCATCAGAAGACAGCAGCCCGGGAAAGCCCAACAGAGCCCGTCAGGCAGAGTAACCGAGGGCTCCACACTCGGCTCCCTCTTCTCCACCTGGAAGAGAAAAAACAGCCAAAATTCACCCTGGAGAGCTGGCTCCAGAGGACCAGCTCCCCCTGCTCTCCCTGGCAGTGCCCTCTGCCTCCCGTGTTCCCATCCCAACGGCTCAGTCTCCGAGAACACAGCGCTTCCCAGGATGGGTGGTGGAGTTGGCAGAGCTCTGAATTCAGAGCAAGACGACCTGGGTCTGACTCCCAGCTCTGCCACAGACAAGGCGTGTAACCTCTCACAAGTCCCAGATGGATCCTCAGTTTCTTCATCCATAAAATGGGATACTTGCCATCCCGTGGAGTGACTGGGAAGATAAGGTCCGAGAACGCACATGAGGATGCTTTGTGTAGAGTGTACGGTTAGGGAAGTTCTCTCTGAAGGTTTAAGGGATGGTCTCTATTATTACACGCCCCTTCTGCTGTGGGGGCCAGTCCCAGCTTCAGTCTGGGTCCTCTTGGAAATGCCACTGAAACGTCTCCTGTTAAGACAGCGCCCTGGCCTCCTCCGGGGGTGTCCCACGATGTCCCCAAGGAGGTCTGGGAGAGCACGTTGCCACCGTGGTCGTTATCACACCTGGAGCTTGTGTGATGACCCTAGACCAGGAATTCCCAATCCTTTCCACATTGTGTCCCACATGGAAATTAATATTTGTATGCACACTGGCCACCACCCATCACCCCAGAGGTTCCAGCCTCTGCAGGCCGAGAGGGTCACCAGCCCTGCACACCTGCTACCCCTGGGCACTTACAGGACACAGAGCTCAGGAAAGCTCCACGCAGAGTGATAAACTCATCAAAAGAAAAGAAACATGAGATGGGTTGGTGAGAGGGTCAGGTTGACAAACTTTACACTGAGAATCCTTACTCAAAAGCCGTGTCCGCCCCGCGCGTCCCCGGCCAGTCTGGCCGAGTCTCTGGCTTTGCTCTGAACGGAACAAGCGCAGCCCTGTCTTATCGCCCAGAGTGACGCCTCCGTGAGACCCCTCACACAGGCCCGACCGCCCTGGCCTGGGGCCCCCAGCGTCCTTATCTCCCACGAGCCATAGAGGTGGAGGCCAGGGGAGGGTTTCCAGTAAGAAGGGCGTCAGCGGAAGAGAGGCCGGGGCGGGGGGGCTCGGGGAAGGAAAGGAGACTTGAGGAGGCTGCAGCGGCTGGTCACTCACTCAGACTTCTGTGTCCTCTGCCCCTGAGCTCTTCGGTGACCTTCACCAGACCACGGTCCCCAGCGGAGGCGTCAGCAGTGCTCGAACCCCTCTTTTTCCTCTGTTTGGATTTAGATTCCCTCTTGAGCACATCTGTGGGGCTGACACTGACACCGCCATGACCTATCCTATCTAAATTATAAAAACCAGATACTCGCATATACGCTATGAAATATTAAAGGCCTCTGCCCTGCTGGAGTTTCTCCCCAATCCAGGGTGGACATCGTAAGCAAAGCAGGGGGAGAGAAACGAGCCCACCAGCAGAGAACGTAGACACCCTCGCTCAGCATCCGCAGGCGGGCGTCTCCCAGGGACCACCGCCAGCACAGCAGGTGGGGAGGTGAGCGGTGGGGGCGGGGCGGGGCTGGAAGGCCGTTTCCCACCCTCAGAGAAGCTCACGGCCCGGACATCTGGGACGGGCGTGAGAGATTATTGCATTCACACATCCGCCTCCCCAGCTTCCAGCGGGGAAACAGGCAGAGGGGGACGCGGTGCCTCTGTTCGCATGCACAGATCTAGAGGCAGATCTGGAGGGAGGCGGCCCCGCGTGATGGGGCGGGGTGAGAGACCCGCCGGGGGCTTAGCTGAGGGGACGAAAGGTAACCAGCTGCACGCAGGGAGAGAGGTGCTGCTCCAGCACCCTTCCCGTGTCTGACCCCGAATGAGTCGTTCCAGGCAGTGAGCATGGTCTGACACAGGCTCGGGCAAACACCACTGCTGAGGTGCTCCGTGTGCAAAAGATTCTGTGACTGTTATTCAAGAAGGCGGTCCCCCGCATAGCCCTGAACGGCCCCAAATCTCCTCTGTAACCGGGGGGCCAGCATTCCCTATCTTAGAGACACATCCCGGGTGCAGGCGGAGGAGCAGGGGGCCCCTTTGCTCCTGGCGCTTTCTCTCCCCGCCCCTGCCCTCTCGGCCTCAGCCGCAGCACGTCGCGGGCTCAGGGTGCCTGGTTCAAACCCGTCCCGGGCGTGAGCTGCACACCTCTGTGAGCGTCGCTTAAACTGTCTGCATCAGCCCCTCCTTACACAGAGGAAGCAGCTGCACCTCCTCAAAGGGGTTTTATGAAGAGTGAGCGAGTCACTAAAGTAAAGCGTCTCGTAAGCTGTGAGTCTCAGGGGTCGCCGTGATCATCACTGGAGAAGCAGCGCAGGGAGTCAGACAGACCCTGCCCCGTTTATCTGCATTGTGGCTCTGGACAAAGAGACCCCAAGAGGTTATAAGGAACTTCTAAGCTGTTCTCCACGGCAGCTGCACTGAAATCAACTACGTTTCAATTCTAAACATTTAAAAGAATACAAATTAAAAAAAGAAACCTCAAGAGTGCCACTTCTTTCTGTATATTAAATATTGTAATTCTGTAAATTAAAGTAATGATCTTGCCGGGGGGTCTGCTCGCGGGGGTGTAGTGAGACTCAGATGAGCGAGTGCTTGTGCAAATGCTTTATAAACCACAGAAGCACGTACACACACAGGATAAGAAATGCCACCTCTCTGTGCCTGTGCCATGTGGTCGCTGATGGTCCCCGATGTTTATCTGGAAACTCCTGGACACAGGGGTCACACTTCTCCCCTCTTCCGTCAGCTGCGATGTCCACCCGCCTGAGGTCTGCACTCAGTAAATGCGGAGTGGGGAGAGCGGCCGTCTCCTCCCACGTGTCTTCTTGCAGAGCGTGTGCCAGTGGCCGGTTCCCTAGGGGACAACGTGTGCTAGGACTGTCCCAGGAGCCAGGCCCCCCGTGGACACTAACTGTGGGGGTGCCTGGCCTGCAGCTCTGCTCCGGGGACCCTCCTGGGCTCAGACCTCTGTGCTCAGCCAACAGACATTCACGAGCTCCCTGAGTCCACCTCCAAGCTACTGGAGAGATTATACCAGGGGAGTTGCCCCCGGCCATCCAAGTCAAGGAAACCGAGAGATCAAACCTCAGCATTTGGCAAAACAGCAGTGACTTCGAGGCCTTTCTTCCTTCTCCCCATCTGGAGATCTTCCCAAGGTGGCAACTTTGCTTTTTGTGCCACGGCTCTCAGTCCCCGTATCTTCATGAGAAGGGGGACTGGGGGGTCTCAGAGGATGCCATTGCCCGATGCTGTCCCGGGTTATCTCTGTATCTCCCCAGACACCCACCGAGTGCTGGGCACCGAGACAGCCCTGGGAGCACAGTTCCTGATTGGAATTAACAAGGCCAAGAAAACCAACGTGCGTGAACTTGGCAAAAGGTGAACTGCAGGGGCGTTGGCCACCTGCATGCTGGAGCTGGATTTTTTTCAGAACCACTGGCTGCCTTCACATTTCCTGATGGAAGTGGGGAAGGTCAGCAGACAGCCCAGAGTTGCAGATAACTTTTGCCCACACATCATTCACTTTTTGGAGCATTGGCTTGAAATTGTGTGTGTGTGTGTGTGTGTGTGTGTGTGTGTGTGTGTCTGGACGTGCCTTCCGTGAGCCTCAGAGGTCCTTGTATTCTCTTCCAATGGGCTGATTACAACACAGAGGATGTGGACAGCGGAGTTTTTCCTGTTTGATGTCACACTGCAACCCTTTAAAAGTCAGAGGGGGGAAAGGAGGGAATGCAGCCTTGGAGCCTCACGGTTTCAGAAACCAACAAGGAAGAGGAGAAACTTGCCAGCGAGGCCAGACCGCGCAGTCAGGGAAGCGGGGTCAGGTTGCAAACTCCGCACCAGCCAGTCAGAGAGCAGCGATGCTGGGGGCCGGCCTCGGGCTCTTGGTTGGCGCCCTGTGCTGTGCGGTCCGAGGGTACCCCAACACTTCCCCGCTGCTGGGCACCAGCTGGGGCGGCCTGATCCACCTGTACACGGCCTCGGCCAGGAGCAGCTACCACCTGCAGATCCATACGGACGGCCACGTGGACGGCTCACCGCAGCAGACCATCTACAGTGAGTGCAGGCTCCGTCCAGGCTGGGAAGAGTGGGGTTCCCTCTGTCCATCCACCTGCAGGACTTGGGGAGGCCTTGGCTAACCCAGCTCCTAGCTTCTTGCCCAGAATCCATGTATGTGTGTGTATGTGTGTGTGTGTTTAAACCTTGGGAGAAGATTCTGCCACCTCCCTAATGAGTATTTATTGGTTTCTCCCAACAAGAATAATTTTCATCTTAACTAAAATCTGTCTTTCCCATAATAGCGGCCACCTTCTCTTTGTTCATCCAAAGAGTCAAACAAATATGCAAAAGACAGGCAAGGAGGCGAGGGGGACATAAGCCAGATTGGTCAACAGGCGCTGAGTCTGGGCTCGTGAACTTTGGCCCGGGTTGGCAGGGGAGGTTGCGAACAAGATTCCTGTATCAGACCAAGGACTGGAAGAGATGAGCACAGGGGTTCTTTCCAGCTCTGAGCGTCTAGTATTCTGGCCTTATAAAAGTCCTCAGGAAAGAAGGTACCAAAAGCAGGCAGTCCAGGAGCGCTGTCTCGATGAGTCTGACCAAGGGCATCCGTGTATCCATCCACACACTCATCCATCCGACAGGCCCACTGAGGGTTTCGGTGGTACCCAGTATGGGCTGAGCTGGTGATGCTTCTCTGTGCAGCTGAGAGGCTCACTGGGTGGCAAATCAAGCTGGTCGGGAACTCCCCGAAAACTTGAGTCAAGCAGAATGCCTGTGAAGATTAGGTTTGTGGACGGTTGGATCACCGTCCACAGCAGTCAATTAACTGTGTTTCAGGTGTCTTCATAAGGGACAGCGGGGAGGGTGGAGGATGGATATTGAAAAAGGCAAGGTCTTCTATTTTAGAAGGACTTGTAAAAATGACTCTAAGGATACAGAAAAGTGATCCAATGAAGGGAATGAAAGAGCAATCGCAGTCTCTGTTTAATTACAGACAATTTCTTACGTGAATAATGACTTGCCCTTTATTGGGGTACTAAAGCACCCAGTAATTTTGCTGTGGCCTTGCTGTATATGTGAGACAAGCATTCGACTAAGGATCAGTGGTCCTTAAACCTGGTGGGGAGACAGAGGCACGTGCAAAGCCAGGAGTTCAAAGCTCTTCAAGCGCTCGATGGGTGGAGAGAGGAGATGCCTCTGCAAACACCAAGCAGGTTCTAGAACTCAGGGGCTACAGGAGGACTCTGGAGTCAGCATCCTGGAAGCCAAGTGTGAGTCTCATGGCAAAAATCTGAAGTCAGTCTGGACACAATCGATGCAGCCCAAGTGTTGCTCATTTTATTCAGTGGATATTTAACAGACCCTACCATGTGTCCGACATTAAGCAAAGCTCTGTGACTTCAAAAGAAGGCCCAGCTCCTCAAGCACCTCCAGTCTTCCATCCCTTTGTGTCTCCCAGCTCATGAGCAGACTTTTTAGGAGACACGGGTTCACACCTGTCCTGGAGGGTCACCCTTACTTCAGGATGATAGGTGATTTCACGTGCAGGATAGAGGATTATGGTAAATTATTCTGATGCTCATCGACGGCAAAAGCCGCAGACAATTAGAGAATGCTGATAAAAACTGTCCAGAATCGTGGAATCCGTTCAATGAAAGGAAGCCCCCAGAGACAGTCCTCCGAGGGGGGCCGTGACTGGTGTGTTTGGGTGGGGCTGGGGGGAGGTGAGCCTCCCGAGCTCACAGCATGCATCCCGGAACTTTTCCTCAAACACCCACCGGCCTCCAGCCCAGACGAGGCACAGAGCACTAGCTGGAATGAATTAAGATGACTGACAGGAAGCAAAGCGAACTGAACTGATCTCAAGACTCTACTTTTTACAGAAATGGGATTTTGTTTTGGCACACATGGACCCGAGCTGAGCGCTGTGTCTCCGGCAGTTAACAAACCTGGGAGGGGACTGGGTCGGAGGGTGGGAGGGAGACACTTTTCCTCATTTACATAGCTTTTCTGTACTATTCAGATCGGTTGTCTGTGAGATTACCAAAGGAACAATGTATACACTGAGACAAAAAGTTACCAGGAGAGGAAAGGCGGAACAGTGGCGCCCGCAGGCGGGCAGCACAGCCCAGACAGGCTGGGGGAGGACCTGCGGTTTCCTCCTCGGTGAACGCAAAGCGCGTTTTACCTCGGTGGGAAGGTGTGGGGTGCGGGGTCTTTTTCCCCTCCTAATTGATTACGCATTTCCAGTGAAACGTGGTTCGTCTGATTATTGTGCTTCACTAAATTCTTGATTGAGAGTTGAGTGCCCAGCCCAACTTGGATTTGTTGGTCTTTGGGAAATGATCTGCCTGCAAGATTCTATCCCCTTGGGACTCACAGCTGATGTCAGGAAGCCTCTCCAATGTCTGTGTCCCCTTCCTACTGTGAACGAGGCCACCTCCCGCTCCCCGTGCCCCCCACTTTCGTGAAAACAGAAGCAAAGAGATGCTTGTTACACGCCCATTCATGCTGCTTCCTGGATCCCAAATCTTTTCCTTCCTCCACCGTCTCCCATGTCACTCTGTCCACTTGCAGCTGAGCTCTCCTCGGGCTCTTTAACACTGCAAAGTGTTCTGTCTCCCGTGGGGAACTCGAAGCCCTGTACACCTACCATCTTATTTCTCACTGCTCGGTGATGAGACTGGAATACAGCAGGAAATTTTCTACTTTCCCAGCCCAGGTTGCAGCGAACTGGTAATAGTAACAATTACTGGCATTTAGAAAGTGTGTTTATAGCTGATACAAATAATGTCTCCTTATGCCCTGAAGTTGAACAAATGGGGTAAGTGATTCCACTCTGTATGAGAAAACAGAGCTTCAAGATCTTACATAACAGGCTCCTGGTCACATGGCAGTAAATGACCTAGCAGACCCCTGCTTCCCCGGGGTCACCTGCAAACACTGCAGCACTGAGGGAGATGTCCTTCACGCCTGCTTGGCTCCAGCAGGTGTGGCCCCAGCAGCCAGTGGTTTTGTGTCTTCCCTCTGCCCAGTTCTGCCCTTGGGTCTGTGCAGACCTGCCTTGGGCATCTGCATGGGGTTGGGGGTGGGTGGGAATCAATTCTTCCCTTTGCTGAACTTTCACACGGGCTCCTAGGGGTCTGACTCGAGCCTGTGCATCCTTGCGAGAGTGGGTCCCCATCCCTCTGCAGGCTGTCCTCTGCTGGCACTAGCCCAGGAGACCATTGCTAGTCCTAAACAACTCATCTCTCCAATCATTGGACCCAGGCATCGGCCAGCACACCTGCCAGAGTGCGGGCTTGTCCTCGAGGGCAGACCAGCCGTCCCGCACAGTGCTTTCCACCTGCTCAGCACTTTTAAGACACTTTGACCTCATCCTCCTGTTCGAGCCTGGTTTCCGCCCTGTGAAGCAGGCAAGACGGCTGCTGCTGTTCTGTCTTCAGAGCGGAGGACACTGAGGCTACAGCGATGACTTGCCCGAGGCTGCAGAGTCGCAGGGCGTGTCGGGGACCCGGCTCCAGGCTCTGCTCCTGTCCCCCGAGCCGCTTGGGGCACCGCGCCCCAGGGGCCTGGTGTCTGCGGCAAGGGCTTCAGCCCTTGATTCTGTCCTCTCAGGCTGGTCGTGATTTCAGTTGGAGACAAGCTATAGGGTCATGGGAAGAGGATGTTCGGGTCGCGGACCTGAGCTTGCATTTCGGCCTCAGTTCCCTCATCCCCTAAGTCGGACGCTGCCACTTCCAGGACCAACACCCATAATGTTAACAAAATCGCAGCTGTTCTGAGAATTTAAAATTTGTCACGTGCTGAGGGTGCAACCACTCAAAGCCAGTCACAAAGTGCCCTTTTTCCCAACTGGACTGAACATTGTTTCAGGTCAGAAACAATTTCTTACACGTTCCACGCGTTCCGCGTGTTTCTCTCAGGCCTTACCTCCACGTTAGCCACAGATCTGAGACACGGTGGCAGACCCCATTTGGAGATCTAACACCCTCTGCACCTCCCAAACCCCGCCGCACTTCCAGAGGCCTCCCTGAAGCCTCCCTTAGCCAGACTCGGAAGCAAATGACCTCTTCTCTTTGGCCCTCTTTCTGGGCTTGGTCCCCCCTCATTCCCTCTGTCCGCCTCATTCCAATTTCAGCCTGTATCCTCCTCTAAGCACAGCTAGCATCTAAGCATTGCAGGCTGCCCTCCTCCGAGGGCTTTGTACTGAGCCTATGTGGGGTAGATTTGAGCTTTAAGTCACCCCATGCGGTGCCACCGCTTACTGGGCACAGACACCCAGCATTTACATCGTCTCCAGGCTACGTTTCTGGAAGACTCGAACCCCTGCCTGGGCTACCTCCCTGGGAACTATGAGACCCAATGAGATACCTGGGGAAATTCTGCAGAAGCAAGCAGGAGTGGCCCCGACACTGCAAGAAATGATTCTAACAGAAAATGACAGGTAATTAAACAGCATTCGGGGAGGAAGTTTGCTGAATTATCACACCTTTCAGACCTCTGCTGGTCTACTTGCATCCTTGCTGCAAGACAGAAAACTTGAGACTTTAACTAGTCATTCTTAATATGGCAAGTCCAGGGAGGGGGGACGGGGGAAGGCACAGCTCAGTGATGAGTGCGTGCTTAGCATGCACGAGGTCCTGGGTTCAGTTCCCAGTACCTCCATCAAAACAAGCAAATAAACCTAATCACCTCCCCAAAACAAAACAAAACAAGTCCCCACAGGGGCGGGTGAGGGGCTTACATGAAGCCATTATCAATAACTTAGGGTGGCGGTAGTATGCATGGGCTTCAGGCCCTTGTCCCAGACTAGTTTTTGAGAAGGGCATCAAAAGACCACGTGGGACCACACCTGGGGAGGTGGGGTGGGGGACCCTGCCAGATGGGAAAAGGACAATGTACAGCAATGAAGAAGCAAGAAGAAATCCTGTGTCCAGGCATCTATTCAATGTGCAAAGATAAACGGTCAGCTTCTGAGTAGATCTGCGAATGTATTAAAGCGGGAGACGGTACAGGTGCTCTGAGAGGTGCGGCACTGAGCTGCGGCGGCTGAGAAGAAAGAGCTCCTGCTGACTGGAGAAGTTAGGAAAGTCTCCGTACAGACTGTGACATCGGAGTCTGGCCTTGAGGCGGGAGAGACTTTAATAGCAGAGGAGGAAGGAGAAGGTCTATTCGAATACAGTTCCTGACACCTTCAGGGCGTGGGCTCCCGTATACCTGCCTCCTGCGTGGCTACCTGGGTGGGGGACCAGGCTCCACAGGCAAACTGGACCCTTGAAAGACATCTCGGCATAGACTGAAAACATCACAGAAGCAGAAGGCTTGGGAGCACATGGGCACCACCACAAACATTAAGAAGTATGGGGCAGGCAAAGGGGAACGTAAGGGCAGTCCAGGCGGAAGGAGGAATGTGTTGGCTCAGGTGGAAGAACACTGGGAGGTCGGGATGCTCCTTACATGCAGGATGAGAAGCAGGGGGCATGGGGGGCAGGGGGAGTCAGAAGAAATGAGCGGACTGTTATGGGAAATCGATGCCACCCTTAAGATCAATCAAGGGAGGCTTCCTGGAGGTGGGAGTTGGAGCGCAACAAGGTTTTGACCTGGATGATTTTCTCCGTAGGTGCCCTGATGATCAGATCAGAGGACGCGGGCTTTGTGGTGATAACAGGTGTGATGAGCAGGCGCTACCTCTGCATGGACTTCAGAGGCAACATTTTTGGCTCAGTGAGTTTCTTTTTGTGCTGGGTAATTATTTGCCAATAATGATCTAATTTCTCTGGCAAAACACAGTGTTTTATAAAGCGTCAGTGTCCCACTGGCATTACCCCTTGGTGATACTCTCACTGAGTACTGCTTTCTGCCCAAGCACCCAATGCTCAGGTTTAATCAGCGGGGTTCTAGTGCCAGGGCTCTCAGCCTCTGGTCTGGCCTGCCCTCTTGGTGCCATTTTTTTGCACAGCACCTTGTCTGCAGCCCGGGACCTCCAGTCACGTATGTTCATGTCGTAAAGGCCATTAGAAAGAGAGGGTGAGGAGCCATTAGGGTCTCATAATTCTGTTACTAGACATCCTTGACCTTGGGCAGGTCACCTTACTTCTCTCAACTTCAGTTTCCTCGCCTGGAAAAAGTGAAGTGGGAAGGACCACGGGCCCTGTGGGACTCCCCAGTTAAAGATCTGTAACGAATTCTCCGGGCCCCAGCTGCAATGGCTTGTCTGTCAGATGGGTGAGCGAGGGAATTCCGAACTGCAGAGTGCAGTATGTTCTGAAGCATCGGGAGATGGGACGGCAGCAGGACTGCTTATGTTGGAAGCCCTCGCCACCAGAAATTCCGGGAGAGCAGTGACTTTCTGCTTTGCTTTCTGCTGTGTCCCAGCACCTACCACGGTGTCTGGCCCAGAGTGGGTAAATATCTGTTGAACAATATAGATTAAAAATACATAAATATCTGTTGATCGCTTACAGGCATATAGATAAGTCCTCAGCAGTAAAATACTTCGTGGACTCTGAGGTTAAATGGCATATGATGTGCTATACCGGCAGGTGCCCAGTCAAACCCAGCTCTAGTTAGTGGAAGAGTGAGGGTTCCAGTCACCTGCCAATGAGGTTCATGCCCTGATTTCCCAAACTCAGTCCTGTCTCCAATGTGAGCACGCTCCCTTATGCACGGCCCTAGGGACCCCAGCCCACCTTTGTCCAGGTGAGGAGACAGGCCACCTCTCAGCCAAAAAAAAGTGGTCAGAAGGCAGAGAGGGCAGGACAAGGCTGCATCTAGGTGGGCCTCCCTCCAGAAGGCGGACGCAGGGCGGCTCGTGCCGGCCGCCAGTCGCCAGGTGGCGCTGTGAGGTCCCCGGGCTGCCCCGCCCGCAAGTCAGTGCTGGGTGCCGGGCAGTTTGGAAATCAGTCAGGATCAACTTTTCCCCGCGGGACACGATGGGTCAAAGGCACCGGCCGAGTAGAGAGGGTGGGAGCGCTGGGGCCTCAGGAGTCACCTGGAGGCTCTCGGACGCCCCGGGCCTCACCTGGTCGCTCTGCCCCCGTTTCAGCACCACTTCAGCCCCGAGAGCTGCAGGTTCCGGCAGCGGACGCTGGAGAACGGCTACGACGTGTACCACTCGCCGCAGCACCGCTTCCTGGTCAGCCTGGGCCGGGCCAAGAGGCCCTTCCTGCCGGGCACCAACCCGCCGCCGTTCTCGCAGTTCCCTGTCGCGCTGGAACGTGATCCCGCTGCTGCAGCTCGGCACGGCGCGGCCCCC